CATTATATATATATATAACTTATATTTCACTCTTTAAACTATTTGGACTTTACTTTTTCCATGATGGGGCACTAATAATTCCCCTTTCCTTCAAAGTACCTAACTAGTTTATCAGAGCCAATAAATAGATAGTAGTTTACTTGTCTCATTTTAAATGTATTTCAGGTTTTTTTTCTATATATGTTTTATATTTAGTAGATTAAACATAAACCCTGATAATGAAGGCTTTAAAATGAAGTGGTTGGGAAGAAGAGTCTTGTATTCTATATACAAGTTTGGGTTTTGCAGCTTATTTTAACATATATTTGACATTATTTTCTGAATTGTATACAGTATTCCCTCACAGTCATAGACTCTTTTCCCCTTTTCTAAGTGGCTTTCATTGTAAGTGTGTATTTTGATTTCTGGTGAAAGACAAAATTGAGTTGATCATAACTTTAAATATTTTCTTGTCATTGAAGCTTTTGCTAAATAGTTGAAAACAAAAGGCTGTGCTTTTAAATATACAGTGCTTTAATTTTTTTTTCACAATGTATCCTTAAAAATTAATTACTCATAGATTGACATTCTTTTTTTCTTTTTTAAGGGAAAAATTTATATACAAATGAATACGTGGCAATTAAGTTGGTAAGTTCATGTTTCTTATTTTTCATTAATTTTCTTGTTACTTCCTTAATTATTAATTTATGTATTAATTATCTTTGGTTTAATGTGGACTGCACTTAACATTGTTTAATAATAACAACAATGTAATTTATAAATAGTTTATTTGAAAAAAAAAATGGTATTTACAGCTGTATTTTTGTTATTAAACTTGAAACATCATGTCCCATAAGTATGTGACAATTCAATTTCTTAACCTTAGCAGCATAATGTAATGAGATTTAAAATTTTTGTACCATTTTTAATTTAGAGAAGGTAGCATGTTGGTATCCTGGTGTGGCACTGTACGATAAGTGTTGGACTGTTAACCACAAGGTTGGCAGTGCAAACCTACAAGCCACTTCTTGGAAGCCCTATACAGGGTTGTTATGGGTTAGAAATGACTCCTTGACACTTAACAACGGTAGCAAAGCATGGTGATATTTTTAATTAGATGAAGAGTAGAAAGCAAGATTTTGTTTTCTGATTCAAGTATTTGAACAAAAAAAGGGGTACTTAGGTACAGGATTATGTTCTTAGGTGTTTTTAGGTAGCTTCCAAAATCTGTTTTTGTCTTTTTATACTTTATATGGTAAAGCTGGTTGTTGATTAAACTTCCAGGGATTCAAAAACATGTTATGTATCGGGAATAGCAGACGTAGCAAACTCTTATGGGACTATTTTAAAGTCTTTAATGTGACCTGTGTGGCAGCTGTAAGGCAGAAAGATGTCTTTTGGAAGAGTTAGATCTGGAAATTTTTTACATTAAATACAGCTTTCTTCAGGCATGATTTCTCTATTTGGCTTTTGCCAGTTTTCCCTGAGGCTAAGCAGGGTTTGGTTTTCCTTGTCACTCTGCATTTTTCAACTTTGTCTCTGCTAATATAACCTGTTATATATATATATATATATATATATATATATATATATAAATAAAACCTGTTAAGGAGCTCTGGTAGCGTAGTGGTTACGAATCGGGCTGCGAACCTTAAGGTCAGCAGTTCGAAACTATCAGCTGCTCCGCGGGAGAAAGATGAGGTTTTCTACTCCCATAAAGATTTACACCCTCGGAAACCCTGTACAGGGTCACTATGGATCGAAACCGATTCAGCGGCACTTAACAACAACAACAACAACAACAATATAACCTGTTAACATGAGAATGTGAGGTTATTCTTATTTTTAAACATTAATTAGCCTATTGAAGGAAGAAGTAAATGGGACTAAATAGAAAGTGTTTGGGATGAGATGGAAAAACTGCACTACTTAATTAAAAAGAATTTTTAAGTATAGATCATGTTTTACTGCAATAAATACTACTTATTTTCATTTGGAAATAAACATTGTGCAGTAGGATTTTGGTGCCAAAACGTGTTTTCTTCCTATAGACTCATCTCCATGGAAAGCCAAATTAAAATTACAAGGTTACTTTGTGAGTCTGGAATCAGGATAAGGAAAGTTAGTTTGTGTGATGCAAGATTTAGTTGGTGAAGATCCAAGATGTAGAAACTGGGCAGCATTTGAATGGGCATTGCCAGCTTTCCTTTCTTTGGAACTCTTCCTTGTCTCAAGTTCTAGGCCAGTGGTCTAGAACACTTATTGGGGATGGGAGTGGTACACAAGGATGGGAGTGTTATTTATGAGGCAGCCTATAGTGAGCATCTCTAGAGCTTGTCTTGCATGTGAATGATACTTCTCTAGTATATTTAAACATATAAACCATTGTGTCAAGGCAAGAACCACTACACTAGGCTGAACTTGCCTTGTCTTCTTTATTAATTAAGTGTACCCTGGGGTCATAATATTTTAGATTTTAGAACTCGTCTTTGCTCATAGCATATAACCTGTTATATTGATGGATTGGTAAACATTTTTATCTTTTAGTCTTCATATGTATACACAAATAACACTTTTTTAAGTGCTATATCAGTCTATTCTTTTAATTATTTCTCTTCTCCACCTGCTTCTTTTTCCTGCTCTGATTTGCCCTATTAAAAGCACAGTGATTAGCACTGCATGTAATTATCGTGTTTTTTCTATTGTTCTTTGGAAGAACTAGGAATATTTTTGGATATATGTCCCTAGCATTTTAAGATTGAAGTATAGTATGCAGTCATGTTTCCCTCAGATCAATGAATATCATATACTGTTGTTAAGTGCCATCGAGTCAGTTCCAACTCATAGTGATCCTGTATAGGATTTCCGAGGAGCGGTTGCTGAGGTTGAACCACTGACCTTGCGGTTCAAACTGACCTTTCAGTCCAGTGTATTAACCCCCAACACTACAATAGGACTCCAATATCTTATATTAGGAGGTCAAAAAAATTTCACATTAAACAGTGTTAGACCAAAGATTGGAACTCAGTTTGTCATTTTCTTAGATATTTTTATTTGTATATGTTGTATCTTTTTGTATTAAATAATATAAAATTTGGTTCAGGACCTGCCATAATCACTTGATAATGTTGTTTCTACATCTTCATTGTGCTCTGAGTTTTCTATTTTTATAAATAAAAGTGTTATTTGATTACATAGTGTTCAGCAAGTAGATTTCAGTGACTACTTTCAGCTTTCCTGTTGCTTGTAAATATTATTACATTTATTGAATGGTACCCTAGGGTGACATTAGACAGCTTCTTGGTTTCAGGGTATTTTGTTAATTCAATCTTAGTTACTATCTTCATTTACTGTTGTTTATGCTTATATAATGATCTGTTGTCCCTGGATAATTAAAATGTTACCATGAAAGTAGGGAGACTTTTGTTATATGGTGGTATAATAAAGTATCACTGCTAGTAGAGTACTAAAATCAATTTGCATTGACTCAAGTAAGTTAGATCTGGGTTTCTATTTTTATCTAGGCAATAGTAGTAATTGAATACATTATTAACTTGTGATTATGTAAGTGGGCATCTTGTATTAGATGTTAAAGTTACGCACTTTTAGTCAACTGAAAAATCGTAGGTTGGGGGGAGTGGTTGATCTTACAGTCCAGGAACGAAGGACCCTGGGACCATAAAGGGAGAAGAGCAGGAGCGGAGTGTGGGCCTCTATCCAGAGAAGTGGCGCCTCCAGAGATGGAGACAGAAATTATGACATGGAGAGATGGAGCAACTGAGGAAGGACTCTGGACTCATGGAGTGAGAGGGGCTGTGGGCTGGCTGCCGGGGGGCAGGTTTGCAGGGTGTGCCCTTTGGTTGTGTGAATCATTGTGTATTCCTGAGTGTTTTGGTGTACATCCAAAAAACAAAACAAAACAAAAAAACCCAGTGGAAATAGAAGCAACTACTGTTGAATGATGAAGCATGGAGGGGATTGTAATCATTGCAATGAAATGATATACAATAGGATGAGTGTAAAACTAATGTTCTCCCATGTAACCTATCACTCAATTCACAATAAAAACTTAAAAAACTGAATTGAAGGCACTTAACAAAAACAAAAAAACAAAACAAAACAAATCATAGGTTTGCAGGGTGTGCCTGCCCTTTGGTTGTGTGAATCATTGTGTATTCCTGAGTGTTTTGGTGTACATCCAAAAAACAAAACAAAACAAAAAAACCCAGAGGAAATAGAAGCAACTACTGTTGAATGATGAAGCATGGAGGGGATTGTAATCATTGCAATGAAATGATATACAATAGGATGAGTGTAAAACTAATGTTCTCCCATGTAACCTATCACTCGATTCACAATAAAAACTTAAAAAACTGAATTGAAGGCACTTAACAAAAACAAAAAAACAAAACAAAACAAATCATAGGTAATATAGCAGTATGTTGTATGTACCGTGGAGTCGGTTCCGACTGATAGTGACCCTGTACAGGGTTTCCGAGGCTGTAAATGTTTACAGGAACAGAAAGCCTCATCTTTCTCTCACGGAATGGCTGGTAGTTTTGAACTACCGACCTTGAGGTTAGCAGCCCGATTCTTAACCACTACGCTACCAGAGCTCCTTATAGCAGTATGTGGAAGGTACTAATTTAAAGTACTTTACATATATTTTGAGAAAAGTACAGGTTTTAATCACTATTTTAAAGATGAGGGAACGAAATATGCAAGATTTAAATAAATTGTTGTAAGTAGTGGACTCAGGATTTGAACCCATTACAATCCCGGTTTTATTGTGTGCACTCTTAACTACTATAATATCCTACCTCTTATGCACTAAGCTGAATTGGTTGCCCATATAATAATCCTTATGGTTATGTTGTTCTAATTGGATTAAAAAAAGATCTTGGTAAAATATATGTAGCAACACATTTGCCAGTTTAACCATTTTTTGTTTGTATATATAATCCATTGATATCAAGCATGCTGATCATATTATCACTATGCTTTTTCTGTCACTAGTAACAGAAACTCAGTACTTCCGAATCAGTGACTCCCTTGTTTTCCTCTCTCACACTTCTGATAACTTGGCCTCTATACATTTGTTTATTTTATAAAAGTGGGACCATATAATATTTGTTCTTTTTTTGACTGACTGACTGACTGACTGACTGACTGACTGGCTGATTTCATTCAGTATATGTTTCCAAGGCCTATATCAGTTGTGGCAAGCATCAGGACTTCATTCCTCTTTACGGTTGAGTAATATTCTAATGATTGTATATATCACATTTCACTTATCCATTCATTTGCTGATGGACATTAATGTTGCTTCCATCTTTCGAATGTTATAAATCGTGTTGCAGTGAATGTGTACAGGTTTATGTTTTTGTTTCTGCTAGGATTGGATCATGGAGTAGCGCTGTAGATTAAGCACCACTAGCTGCAGTCTAGTTTGCTTGTGGTTTAAACCCACCAGCCATTACTTGGCAACGCTATGAGTCGGAGCTCATTCGGCAGCAAACAAGAAGCTAGGATTGGTACTGCTGGGTTATGTGATAGTTCTGTTTTTGACATTTTAAAGAACCACCATACTGGCTCCATAGGGCTTTTTAAGTTCCCATAAGCAGTGGATGAGAGCTTACCAATTTTTC